TTCATCCATTATTTTGTTTGTCACAAAGTCCATCAACAACAAGATCATTAGGGGAGTGAGTGAAAGTGTTTGTCCATTTTCTCAACACTATGTGGTGTCCGGTTGTGAATATGCGCAAGAGATCGCTGCAGGGCTTGGCAGAAAACATATTGGGGAATTTTGTGTGGGTGTTTGCAGCAATGGCAATGGAAAGTGAGGTAAAATTTGAAAGCTTGGTTGTTAAACTCAGGAAAGGCATTGAGCAATACAAGGAAAAGTATCCGAATGGTGTTACTGGTGAGGATATATTTCAAGCCATTAAAGGGTCTGGCAACCTCGCGGAAAGGGATGATTTAGAAACCAATACTTGCAGCAGCTGGTGCAGGCTTCCCTTGTACGAAACCGAATTTGGATGGGGAAAGCCATTGTGGGTGAGTACTCGTAGTACAGTCAAGAATACAATTATGTTCATGGATTTGAGCGATGGGGAAGGCATAGAAGCGTCAGTGACGTTGAAAGAAGAAGACATGATCATAATTGAAAGCAATGAGGAGCTGCTTGCATACGCTTCTCTAAATCCAACTGTCATTTAATTATTAGTAGCAAAAAATATGCCTGCAATTTAGTTTCCTTGGGTAGTTGTGTTGTAGCCTTTCATTTCTTCTAAGCAATCAATTAAAAAATAAACTTGAGCTTTCTCACTTAAACACTGAGCAAAGAATGCATGGCCTTGTTTGAGAGCAACTCGGAGCTGCTTGCATATGCTTCTGCAAATCCAAGTGTCACCTGGTGACATAGAGCCTCCTCTGCTATTAATTGTCTATGCGTGTTTGAATAAAATTGCAGTGTTTTGGGTTTTGAGTTTTGATGAGAGCTTAATTCTTGTCTTGGTGCATAGGATGATCTTGTCTTTGTAACGTGGTTTAAAAATGTGATCCTTTATGATAGTTTTAGATGCTTTGGATCTTTCACATCCAAAGAATATTAGTGATCAACTGACCTCACTATAACCGGAATAGAAGACAAAAAAATTTAGAGAATATATTTGCACTACATCAATTGAGATTAATCGATGGTTTGCAACATCACTACAACACCCATGTGTTGTTAGATGAGTTTTACTTTTAGGATTTGAGGAGTGGATAGATTAAATCAGACTCATCCAATACTGCTAAAATATGAATATGGGTTTGAATATGCTAGGTTAATTTTATTCTTCTCCATAAGGAGGTATATATATGAGTTTACAGAGTGCTTTACAAGGAATGATATACAGTAAAGAATTAGGAAAGTATCTCCTAATTATACAAAGATTTGTCAACTAAATAGAATGGGAAAGTAAATCCCTTAATTAATCAAGGAAATAAATCTCCTTGATTGATTAGGAGACTCACGTCAACACTTCTCCTCAAGTTGGTGCATATACGTCACCAATGCCCAACTTGGTAAGTGAGTCATGAAACACTCTGGTACAAACAGTTTTTGTTAACATATCGGCCAGTTGATCTTCTGATTTTATGAATGGTAGGCGGATGATCTTCTTCTCAATTTTCTCTTTGATAAAATGTCTATCCACTTCAACATGTTTGGTGCGATTATGCTGAACTGGATTATGTGCAATGTCAACGGTTGACTTGTTATCACAATGTAACTCCATTGGCTTTCTTGATTTAAAACCCAATTCTGTCAATAGTTTTCTAATCCATAGCAATTCACAAACTCCATGGGCCATTCCTCGATACTCTGCTTCAGCACTAGACCAAGAAACCACATTTTGTTTTTTACTCCGCCAAGTGACTAAATTACCTCCCACGAAAGTAAAGTAGCCTGAAGTAGAGCGTCTATCCGTAATGGAGCCAGCCCAATCAGCATCTGTATATCCCACAACTTCAAGATCTCTACCTTTTGAGAACAGTAACCCTTTTCCAGGGGCTAACTTTAAGTACCTTAAGATTCGATCAACCGCATTCCTATGAGACACACTGGGAGAATGCATAAACTGACTAACCACACTCACAGCATATGCAATATCCGGTCTTGTGTGGGCTAAATATATTAACCTTCCAACAAGGCGTTGGTATTGTTCCTTATTGGTTGGTTCTTGATCCATGTGTTCATACAACTTGTGATTCATCTCGATGGGTGTGTCAGCAGGCTTACATCCAAGCAATCCTGTTTCAGCGAGCAGATCCAATACATACTTCCTTTGTGACAGAAATATACCGTTTGCGAACCTTGCTACTTCAATTCCGAGAAAATACTTTAGATCACCTAAATCCTTCATCTCAAATTCCTGAGACAAATACTTCTACAGTTTCAGTTGTTCTCCTGTGTCGTTTCCAGTTACAACTATGTCATCCACATAAACAATCAGTGCAGTAAGCTTCTTTCCTTCACGCTTCAAGAACAAAGTGTGATCCGAATTACTCTGTGTATATCCAAAGTTCTTCATGGATTTAGTGAATCTACCAAACCATGCCCTTGAAGGCTGCTTTAACCCATATAATGACTTTTTGAGCTTGCAAACTTGATTCTCCTTGTCACGAGCGAATTTACATCCTGGTGGCAAGTCCATATATACTTCTTCTTCCAGGTCTCCATGTAAGAATGCATTCTTTACATCAAATTACATCAAACTGATGTAATGGCCAATCGAGATTTGCTGCTAGAGACAGAAGGACTCTGATAGTTTTAATCTTGGCTACTAGGGCAAAGGTCTCTTGGTAGTCTATCTCATATCCCTGTGTGTATCCCTTCGCCACAAATCTAGCTTTATATCTTTCAATGGATCCATCTACTTTGAGTTTCACAGTATAAATCCATATGCATCCCACTGTCTTCTTTCCATGAGGTAATGGCACGAGTTCCCATGTGCCATTCTTCTGGAGAGCTCGCATTTCTTCATTCATGGCTTCTTTCCATTTTTGGTCTTCTAGTGCTTCAGTTACACTGTTGGGAATAGGTATTTTGGCTAACTGCTTCACAAAGTGTACCCGAGACTCTGATAATCTGTTGAGGGATACATAATTGTTGATGGGATATTTCCACTTTGCATTAAGATCTGCTTCGTAGTGAACAGGAGGTTTACCACGATTCTTCCTTTTTGGAATATGATACGCAGGCTCTGTGCCTTCTGAAATGCAATCATAAAGAAATATTTCATTACTGTTATCAGTTTCAGGTGGAGAAATTACCTGAATGACGTCCTAAGCAGGTGATTGGTGTGGTACTGGAGCTGAAGAATTCTCCGGAGCTGAAGAACTCTTCAATTTTCTCCTCCTAAGTGTGATGGCAAGGAGATGACTGAAGCGAAACAAGTTCAGGAAAAAATTGGGGGGGGCGACCGGTTGCTGGGTGCAGGTGACCGGTCGTTTTCAGGCAGAGTCGTTGGCGACCGGTCGCTAGAGGCTGGCGACTGGTCGTTTTGAGTCTGGAACGAATCTGGAAAAAATTCTGAAGGAAAAAATTCTGAATTTGGAGAAGTGTCCTCCTGTGCATCTGAAAAATAGATCTCGTGTTCCCGGAACACAACATCCATCGAAGTATAGACCTTCTGACTAGGAGGATGATAACATCGATAACCTTTCTGATGAGGTGCATAACCAATGAAAACACACTTGTCAGCGCGGGGATCCAATTTGCTGTGTTGGTGATCATGTAAGTGGACAAAGACCACACAACCAAAAATGCGGGGTTCCGGGTTTTTTGTTGGAGGTATTTGGTTATGATGGTGGAGTGTTTGAAGGAGGGTTTTGAACTGGAGGACACTAGAGGGAATCCGATTGATCAGGTATGCTGCAGAGAGGACGTCCTCTCCCCAAAAGGACCGAGGCATATTTGCACCAAAGAGTAAGGCACGAACTACTTCCAATAAGTGTCTATTCTTTCGTTCTCCCACACCATTCTGTTGAGGAGTGTAAGGGCATGAGCGTTGATGTATGATGCCATGATCTTGGAAGAACCCAGTAAGATCATGGTTGAGAAATTCTCCGCCATTGTTAGACCGAAGAACCTGAATTCGGGTATGAAATTGTGTCTCCACCATGTGATAGAACTGTTGAAATTTGGAACTGACTTCCCCTTTTGTTTTGAGAAGGGAAACCCAGGTCATGCGTGTGCAATCATCAATGAACGTGACAAACCATCTAGCTCCCCCAGGAGTGGAAATTTTTGCAGGGCCCCAAACATCAGAATGAATAAGGGAAAAAGGAATCATGTAACACCCCGACCCTAAATTATTTAGCCATCAAATTATTTAATTTATTTAAATATGAATTTCCAATTTTGCCCTCGGAGTAGGGGTAATTTAGTCATTTTTATCCGGGAGGATTTCGTGGCAGTGGATGGTATCTTTGCGTAGGTCGTACTGAGACGAGTCCGTAGACATGCAGTGGGCTTGAATCGGAGTTGTAAAGAGAGAGATAGAAAATCGGAGCTGTGTTAGGTTTGAGAAATTTCTGAGTTTTGGAAATCAATTAAGCAATA